AGCGTGACGACTATAGTTGCTTTTTATATGGATCCGAATATTGGACGTTAACGAGACATGAACGGAGACGACAAAAATGCGTTCCTTCAGAGGAGTCGCAGTTTTGGCCTACGGTGTGGCGAACGCGTGCTAAAGATAATAGAGGAGAACTGGTAATAGCAGAAAAACGCAAACTCAGAAGTAAATGGCAACAATCAAGAATCCACATGATACAACCCTTCTCAATAGAGCCAGCCAACAATTATACAAGGAAATAAAAAATATCAAACAATCAACAATTAACAAGTCCTTCACAGAACTCACTCCAGATCGTAGCACCGAGTACTCACTCTAGAAAGATACAAAATATTTAAAAAGACCTATAGCTCAAGTACCACCCATAAAAACGGATGGAAGATGGGCTCGTAATGATTTTGAGAAAGCAAATATATTTGCACAACATATTGAAAAAAGATTCCATCCAAATCCTGGACCGGATACATTACCAGTTCTCAGCTCGAATGATTATCTGGACAAGATTCCACTGATTACTCATAAAGAAGTTGCCGAAGAAATAAGAACTAATTTCAACCCGAAAAAAAGCACCAATTTCATTACTGCCGATTATGTCTAAGCTATTTGAGAAACTGACGCTTAAACGTCTTAAACCTATCATTGAAGGGAAACACCTAGTTCCAACGCATCAGTTTGGCTTTAGAAAAAATCATTCGACAATTATCCAGGTACGTCATATCAATGACGTCATTGAAAAAAACGCTTGAAAACAAAGGAGTTTGCTCTGCTGTCTTTGTTGACATTGTACCAGCTTTTGAGAGAGTATGGCACAAAGGCCTACTTCACAAAATGAGATCAATTTTGCCCGATCATTTCTATCAACTCCCTAAATCTTATTTAACCATTCGGTACTTCCGCGTCAAACACGAAGACTCGTACTCAGGACTGAAGATAATCAAGGCTGGTGTCCCACAGGGAAGTGTACTGGGGCCAGTCCTATATCTACTTTATATTAATGTGCCAACTACATCGAACAGTACTATAGCCACGTTTGCAGATGATACAGCAGTCATGGCAGTAGGAGAGACTGTTGAAAGCTCAACTCAAGGCTGGTGTCCCACAGGGAAGTGTATTGGTGCCAGTCCTATATCTACATTGTATTTATGATGTGCCCAATACACCGAACAGTGCTACAGCCCCGTTTGCAGATAATACAGCAGTCATGGCAGAAGGGGAGACTGTTGAAAGCTCAACTTAAGGCTGTTGTCCCACAGGGAAGTGTACTGGGGCCAGTCTAATATCTACTTTATATTAATGATGTGCGCACTACATCAAACAGTACTATAGCCACGTTTGCAGATGATACAGCAGTCATGGCAGTAGGAGAGACTGTTGAAAGCTCAACTCAAGGCTGGTGTCCCACAGGGAAGTGCATTGAGGCCAGTCCTATACCTACTTTATATTAATGAAGTGCCCACTACATCGAACAGCACTATAGCCACGTCTGCAGATGATACAGCAGTCATGAGAGTAGGAGAGACTGTTGAAAGCTCAACTCAAGGCTGGTGTCCCACAGGGAAGTGTATTATGGCCAATCCTATACCTGCTTTAGATTAATGATGTGCCCACTACATCGAACAGTGCTACAGCCACGTTTGCAGATGATACAGCAGCCATGGCAGTAGGAGAGACTGTTGAAAGCTCAACTCAAGGCTGGTGTCCCACAGGGAAGTGTATTATGGCCAATCCTATACCTGCTTTAGATTAATGATGTGCCCACTACATCGAACAGTGCTACAGCCACGTTTGCAGATGATACAGCAGCCATGGCAGTAGGAGAGACTGTTGAAAGCTCAACTCAACGCTGGTGTCCCACAGGGAAGTGTACTGGGGCCAGTCTAATATCTACTTTATATTAATGATGTGCGCACTACATCGAACAGTACTATAGCCACGTTTGCAGATGATACAGTAGCTATGGCAGTAGGAGAGACTGTTGAAAGCTCAATTTAAGGCTGGTGTCCCACAGGAAAGTGTACTGGAGCTAGTCCTATGTATTAATGATGTGGCCACCACATCGAACAGTACTATAGCCACGTTTGCAGATGATACAGCAGTCATGGCAGTAGGAGAGACTGTTGAAAGCTCAATTTAAGGCTGGTGTCCCACAGGAAAGTGTACTGGGACTAGTCCTATGTATTAATGATGTGCCCACTACATCGAAAAGTACGACAGCCACGTTTGCAGATGATACAGCAATCATGGCAGTGGGAGAGACCGTTGAAAGCTCAACTAGAAACCTACAATTAGCTGTAAATAAAGTCGCCCTCTGGACAAAAAAATGGCGAATTAATCTCAGCGAAGCCAAATCAGTGCATAATGACTTTACAAACAAGAGGATTGCACAACAATCAATCTTCATCAATGGCACTCAAGTTCCATACACCAACAGCGAAATATCTTGGAATAACTCTAGACGCCAAGTTACGGTGGGAAAAACATATCAAGAAAAGACGTGACGAGCTCAACAATAAGTTCAGAAAAATGTCTTGGTTGCTTGGACGCAATTCTGAGCTATCACTCCACAATAAACTTACATTATACAAACAAACTCTACGTCCAGTTTGGAGTTATGGTATCCAGCTGTGGTGCTGTGCCAGTGAATCCAATATTCAAGTGATTCAGAACAAAGTGCTAAAGTGTATTTTCAACGCACAATGGTACGTTCGTAACAGTGATCTTGGGATCGAGAAGGTTACAGATATCATCGCTAAGTCCGCCACCTCTCATGAAAAGAGACTCCAAAACCATGTCAACATTGAAGCATCCAGATTTCTCAACGTGAACAATATGATTAGACGACTCAAACGGAAGAAACCGTTCGAACTAGTTAAAAGTTAAAGTACTAAGTAATTCAGTGGAAGTGACTAAGTTTTAATTTACGTAATTACTAGGTTTAGAAAAAATTAATCGTTAGTTATCCAGCTATTTTTAATTGTAATTAAGTTCGGGGTTACCCACTCTTTCATTAACAGATACTGGATGTAGCATATATAAATAAATCAATAAAAGAGCTATTAAAAGGAGCGCTTGGAGATTATGGTTGTAAACCGATCATAAAATGTTGTAGCAATATGAGTCGAAGGAGGTCCGAAGAAATAAACACGGGAAACGACTGATGAACACGCAACTAGCAGCAGGAGTGTAGATGTTTATGGCAAGATACGATACGTACTTTTATTTCATACATAAAATTAATAGCTGCATAACTAGCGGCTCCTCAAGGAGGGCTCAGCTCCGTTAAGCTAGTTACTTACATAACTTAATTAAGCTAACTTAGCAAGATTTGAGTCTACAGCTCTCTCCGTCTCTGTTGTTGAACAAGAAATCGAGCCGACTCTCACACTGAAGAGAATACTCTAGGTTAGGCTTGTCAACCGAACGCGACCTTAAATCCCTAAAGGTGTAAGGTAAAGCTGTCTTAATTAAGCACCACGCCATGAAGGCGTATGGGGGAATGGAAATGCAGCTCCACCATTCTTGACCTCGACACTCGATGGAGGTGAGTGATTAGCTTCACACCCTGGCCGCTTAAACACCGGAGAAAGAGTCCCCGGTACTCATTTGATAATAGCCTAGGTGGGCCCTAGAGTCGGTCTGGATGCTTTAGAGTAGAGATATTTCTCATGTCCCTACCGGGAATCGAATCCTAGCCTGTCACTATTCCGACTGAGCATCCGAAACAAAAATAAAAATGCATAATCACCCAGTCAGTTCGCCATAGGCTGCTCTTCTACCTACCGTATCAAGACTCTCTGGCTATCGCTGCTTAGAAACCTCTCTCCCAAAAGTTAATCTATTGTGCCACGTAGTTACCACACGGATCGCACAGATAACATTGTTTTCCATTTACTCCATTGTTTCGTGTTACGAATCTGTTGCAGCCGCTACATAGCAACGGCTGTTGTATAGATGCTTACTTCGCGGTCGTTGACTTGCAACGGGCCTACATGCCACAGTATCACGTGAAACTACAAGGAGGTAGCCGGATGTAGTTGGGAAGGAAAATCAATAATGTACCTGTGAGCTGAAGTGGTTCTGCAGCCGAGTTTCGAACCAAATTCCGTTCCATCTTATAGCCCTGTTATCCTGCTTCGTAACTGATTGGTACTAACAAGTTCGGGAACTTCTTAAAATTAAACAGAATCCTACAGTTATAAGTAACATATAAGAAATAAGCTCTGTCTGACTAAACTAAGAATGCCAGCCAGAAACTGGTGATCGCTACATTCATGTCCAAGAGGCAGCTGGTTCGATTCCAGTCGCACTACTGTCTATCACGACCGGCGTTCACCTTCTAGATCCTTACCAACTGGTCAACAGTGGTCATGGTCTCGTCCCATTCCTTGTCATAACATATGTAGGTGAAACAGTGTCGTTAAATAACTTTAGTGAGAGAATTTAAACCATAATCTCGGAATAATTCAGTGGAAGAAATATCCCTACGATTCTGAGCTTCTCGTATAAAAACACATAAAAATATAAGAAACTAAAACTTAACCTGTTGTTCTGTATGAGTGTGAAACTCAGTCTGTCGCCATAAGGAAATAGCATAGAGTGAGCGTGTTTCAGGAATGGATAGTAAATGGACTCTTGGATCCCCGTAATAGGAAGATGACGAAAATTGCATAATCAGCGTCATAATTTGTACCATTCAACAAATGACGAAACATTGGATGGGTGCGACATGTAGCATGCAGAATTGCAATGATAACGGTGAAAGTGGTCTTACAGAAACATGATAGGCCTGCAGTTGTGTGGATGGATTCAGTTGACTCAGGATAGAGCCCAGTAACGGGTCCTCATGAATACAACAATGAATATGCAGATTCAAAAAAAAAGTGTGAAATTTTCGACAAGCCAAGTGACTATCAGCTCTGAAGCAGAACCCTGCTTAATTCAGTTAGATTCAAACCTCTAACCCGATGTGTTATTTTTGTTGGCAGCCTCCACAACCTGTAGAACCATGGACCGGTGTGCTGGACGCTACCAAGGAAGCCCCTGTGTGTGTCCAGCGAGGGTTCCTCCCCAGCGATATAGAAGTCAGAGGACAGGAAGACTGTCTCTACCTCAACGTCTACACGCCACGGGTAACGTTCTCTTCCACGGATCATAAGCCGGCCTGATCAGTTGGCTTTCCCACCACTGTCCTCTCGCTGATGGAGCACAGGGAACACAGATTTGTATCAAGTTGTGAAGAGCAGTGGTTCCCGGAAGGGTTTATGTTGAGCGTTTATTCATGTGAATAAAAATATTCAGAAGTCTCCAGTCTATACAAACGTGACTTAATCACGTCTAAGATTTACTCTTTCAGCCTAATTGAGCTATTTTGAAATAATGAGAAGAGACTTATGAAGTCATCATGCTGTCGGTCTGCTTATGCCTCTGTGTCTATGTATCTGTTTGCGTCTGTCCGTCTGTGTATCCCCCCATCCTAACCTTGTTAGGAGGCTTATGAGATCAGCTTGCTACTTGTGTACCTCTTTAATTTGTTTCGTTTTCTAAGCGGTCCGTTTTGCGTGAAAACAAAGCAGGAGATTAGCTCCCGACTTCTTGATTGTTGGACTGTATGTTTCGGACTCAGTCTGGCTTTCTCTGGCCAATTCATGTGCATAATAGCCAGGACTTTAGTAATTTCAGCCGCCGCCGGAGAGCGCTTAGCTGCAGATCTGAGAAACGCTTCTAACCGTCTAGTGCGTTTAGGCCCTTTGCGTTGGGTGCCACTCCTTCTTACCGTCCTTCTCCGGCAGTCCTCTTAAGAGCCCTTTGGTTGCTGGTTGCATCTGCTCCGCTAGCCGTTCCCTCTCACCTGTGGTTACTTCGAGTTGGCAGGTTGCTGCTGCGTCCTTCCTATCCAGTTCTGTTTCCCTTTTTGTTGTTCTGGTGGATAATAGTTTGCGGGGTATGGGTTATCGGAGTGCTGGGCGCCAGTAAGCTTACTGTAACGGCTTACATTTCGGGGAAAAGGGGGGATGAACTGGAAACTACAGGTGCTAGGTACCGCGTTCTCACTGGAGCGATGAGATTCGGTCTCAGGGTGAATACGGGCCTCGCGTCAGCGGGAAAGAGAAGAGTGTTTTAGGTAGGCACTAACACACACTGTTTAAGTAGCCGATATTGCTACACACGTACATTTAACAGCACTTCCTTAAAACACATGGAAATCTCTCCAACGTTGCCGACCGGATCCCTGGCTAGTTAGTTAGCGGCTGTTTCTTTTA